TTTCTTCCTGGAAGGCGGTCGCCTCCCGGAAGTCTCACTGGACGGGCAAAGGCTGCGCGGAAATCCGATCCCGACGAGCCTGACGTTGGCCCGTATGCCGCGGAGCGGAGAGACTATACCACTGTGATCCACGTCCCCGAGCGACCGCGGGAGGAGTACGCCGTCGAGGACAGGAAACACAGAAAGTCGAATTCCCAAGGGCAGCCCCAACCCCTCCCCAGCCCCCGGCCGCTTGAATACACGCAACTGCCCGGCCCTAGCCGGCGGCCAGAGGAGCCCCGCGGACACGGCCCACCGCAACGGCGGCCTCAGCCGACCCAGCCGACGCGACAGCTCAAAGAAGAGGATCCACACGAGTGGTTGTTGGAGCATTTTGCTGATCCCTCTCCCGACACCCCGTCGCAGCGAAAACCCGGGCCACCAATGTCCCCTTCCCCTTCCCCTTTGCCAACGACGTCCTCGGCACCGGCCCACGTGTTTCCCCCACCTCACACAAAACGCGCTACGCCACCCTTGATCCCCGCCACGATGCCCGAGGCTGCCGTCGCCCTCGAGGAGGAGCTCGCCTCTGTCTCTGTCTCCCCCGCGAAGAACGAGCCGGACGACGAGATGGACGTCGATATTGCGGTGGCTGAGCTGGTCGAGGAGACGCTGGGGCCCGGCGAGGGCGTGATGGAAGTCGACGTCGAGGACGAGCTGCTGAGCCTGTTGGATGATCGCCCGCGGTCGCGTTCCATGACCCGTCCGCCTAGCGTGAGCCGTGCGGCTTCAGGTGGCAAGCCTGCCCTGCGCCTGCAGAGTGCCACCGACTCTGGGTCGCGTCATGCCTCTCCGATGGCCTCAGCCAGCTCTCATTCCTCTTTCTTCTCCCCCGGCCCGCGCGGGTCCTCCATGCTCCCCCCATCCGAGCGCGGGTCGATGCCTCCGCCCGCATCCACCGCCACGGGCCAGAGCAAAAGCAAAGAGTCGAGTGCTGCGCCCAAGAAAAAGAAGGAGGCAGTAAAGGTGCGTCTCATGAAGCTGCCCGCCCACAAATCCTAATCCCATTGTTTGCAGCCTGCGCCGAAACCCAAACCCGCTGCTGCAGCGAAACCGCGCGCCAGGCCGCCACCCAAACCGAAAGCCAAATCTTCGGATGGGGCCGCCGGCGCCGCGAAAGCTAAAGCGCCGTCCGCCATCCGGAAGAGCGGCTCAGTCGCAGCATCAGCGTCCCGCTCTCGGTCCACCTCCGTCATGCCCGGCGGTTCAGTCGGCCCAGAGAGCTCGGAGAAGCACGAGGACGAGGATGAGGACGCGCTTGTGGCGGCCCCCGAGGACGACAAGTTGTACTGTGTATGCAAGACCAAGTACGACGAGGACCGGTTCATGATTGCGTGCGACAAGTGCGTGGTTTGGGTTACCTTTTCTTAGCGCACACGTTGAGCCTTTGTGCAGGTGCGATGAGTGGTATCATACCCAATGCGTCGACATGCCGGATCTGGTCGTCGATTTGGTCGATCAGTTTTTTTGCCCGCTTTGCATCGAAAGTGCGTTTTTATAATACACGAAGTTGGTACTTTTTCCCTTAACGTCGTTCGTGCAGAGAACCCGAATCTTTTGCTCAAGACTACGTACAAAGCGCGCTGCCGCTACGGGCTGGACCACCCCGAGCCCGACTCCTCCAAGGCGTGCCACAAACCGGCGCAAGGTGCCTTTTCAAAGTACTGCTCCCCGGAATGCGGGTTGAACAACATCAAGAAGCGAATTGAGACGTTTGCGAAGAACGGGGGGAAGAAGGAGCTGTTGTGGGACAGCGTCAAGGACGCGCAGAAGCGGGAGGCGGTCGTGATCGTCCACGAGGAGGTCGTCGAGGCAGCGAAGGAGAATGAGGACGCCGCGTCCTCGCCTACCCCCGCCGTGACCGCGCGCGTGAAACCGGCGAACATGGGCCGCGTGGAGCGTGAGGTCGGGAACTTGAATGCGGTGCTGGACGAGGTCGTCACACTCCGGGAGGACCTGAAAGAGGGGATGGAGATCGTGTTCTGGCGAGAGCGGCTGCTAGAGTTGGCGAGCGAGCGCGCCGAGCAGCTCGGCCAATGCGGGTGGGATCAGCGGCTGTGTTTCGGGGAGGACGAGTGGGCTGATTTCGGGGCGGGTGTTTTGGAGAGCTATGAGGACGGCGCGAAGGAGGGCGGTATGCAGGTCGATTCGGAGGAGTGGTGGTGCCTTGAGAGCCAGCAATGCGGGCGTCATGCCGGGTACGTGTTGTTCAGTCGTGGTTACTTGACCTTTCTAACGCGGCGGGCGTGCAGTTGGCAAGCCATTCGGGCCAGGGACGTCGCAAAGGAGAAGGAGAAGAAGGAGGAAGCGCTGTTCAGGCTCACCACGCGGGAACGCGAAATCCGAAAGCGCATCGACGACCTTGTTGAACCATTCAATCGCTCTTGCATAGACCCTTCCATCGGCGCACCCCTCAAGTCCTCCAAGCTCGTCAATGGCAACTCCAAAGGGAAAACGAACGGGGACAGCAAGAAGGGAAAGAAGAGAAAGAACCCGTCGTAATCCCTGGTGTATTTTTATTCCGTCTTTTTTTGCATTCTTCGCTCTCTGTTGAACTCCGCTTTCCAATGTATTTTGCATCTTGTTCTGTAGCATTGACATTTCCTCACGACGAATATTACTCGAACCAGTCTAAACTGCACCCCAGACTTCTCATACAAACATACAATCCGTATCTGACCGCGATACTGCGAGGCGTAATGAATCTGCCTATAGTCGCTTCTCGACCAACCCCCCTCGGCCAGGACATGTGGGATATTAGTATCCCTCGTGTTCCCCGTCGTCAATACCCGTCCCCTTCCCCACCTTCCTTGCAGAATCCCTTCTTCTCGTACAGGATTTGCGCCTTTGCTTCTTCTCGCTGCTTTTTCATCTCGACATCGTTCTTGTGGTACGGTTCGAGCGTGGCGTAGTCCACCTGCCGGCGCAGGGGTATCTCGTCCTCTAGATCGAGATCCTGCGCGCGAACGAACATCAGTCAACACATCGAATGGGAAGGGACCGTGGGGACGCACAATTTCGCCAAGCAGCACGACGTTTTCGCCGCGAATCAGAAACAGCCCGTGCCAGTTCTCCGCAAACGCGTTGCCGTGGTAGATGCGCTCCACGGTGTCCTCGAGCACGAGGTTGGCTGGAGCGGAGTGGTGAGCCAGAGAGACGAGACTGGCGGCGGCGGCGCGTACCGAACTGGTCGTAGGAGCGCAGAACGCCGTGGAGTTTTCGTCCGTCGCGCAGGACCACCAGCATCTTCCCTAGTCAAGGACGGACACCGAGGGAGGGAGGAGTGGCGGAATGCTCAGGACAGAAGGGTAGTAGTTGAGTCGGCAGACGTACTGTCCACACAATCCACCAGCGACCCCGAAGTTGTGAAGGGTATTAAAGAGTCCATGCCAAAACGGCGAAAGCTGCAGAGACGAATTGGGAAACTCGTGATGCCCGGATCTCTCTCTCTCTCCAACTTGCCTCCAACTCGCTTCGCCTTCTTGTAACCAGCAAGCCGACAACCACTCTAGCCAAACTCAACGAAATGAACTCCTCCGAGCCTGTGTACAATATTAAATACACAGCAAAAAAAAATAAGACGGGCAATTCTGCACAGTGCACACCTAGATCTACGAAACCAAAAATGCTGGATTCCATTTATTCTGAAATGCTGTTGAGGTCCCGAGCTCCCTATAGTCTTTGTCTTTTAGCCGTTGGACCTCCCACCGAAAGCACTCATCAGACTATCGCCGCGTCGCGTCGTTTGATCATTGAAATCCCTGAGCAAGTGCGTATGCAATGATCAAGGATCGCGGCCAGAGAGAGAAAAGTGCTCGCAGAGTTTATCTAACTTCTATCTCACACTCTTCTCGCCTTTAGGTGGACTATGACGTCCTCACCATGAGGATATCTATACTCGTTTTGCATTACATTTCACTTTATTCGACCTCGCAGACAATTGCGGGCTCTTGAATCGTCGCTCGCTCCAGTCAGTGCCAGTACCATCCCACGCAGGCAAACTTCACTACCTCGTCGACCTCAATTGCGGATCTCGCTGTTTCTACCAATGCGACAGCACTATTTCCACAACCAGCAATCACAGCGTCAATTTAAGCAGTATTCCTATTTCTGCTTTGCTCGCCCTGCTACAGTTCGAGACATTGCGACGATCCGCGAACAACGTATCAGCAACGTTGTTGGGCTGACCGATGCCGGTTCGATTCTTCCTGGTATGTGCACTGCTACTTTCCTGTCAAAGTTCAAATCAACTTTTTTTTCTGCTCAGGCTTTCAACCCGCCAGGCAAATGGACAGTGACTTGACGTCAATTACACAACGGACTGTCCGGCATTGGATTAGAACTTGCAATTTTCCAGGTAAACGATACGGTGGCACCCTCCTTGCTATTGCTTGGTCGTAAACTTTGCAGCACCACCACCAATGATGTGGTCGATTCAAGGTCGATCTTGAAGTCCCCGGTTGCACCCTGTTCAAATATGAATCGTTTTATGCGCGCTGATTCGCCTGCGTCCAGTCAGCACTGGGGCGGTTTATCAGCTTTCCCGCGACCAACCTAAATCAGTGCATAAACTCAGACGAGAGTTGACCAGTCATTAGGGCGACGGGTAGCATCCTCCTTAACCTGACAAAATCGAGGCCCTTGGTCAAGAGTGGAATTCAATTACATTCGAGGACTTTTCGCGAAGCTACCTTCACGTGCAATTTTTTTATCCGGAGCCGTGGCCGTCTCGGATCCCACACAAGGAAAGGTGCCCTCCAGTCGGGGGAAAGTAGCTGTCGGAGACCTTCATAGCAATTAGAAAACAGTGGAGGATTTGCAGGTAGTAGTGTCGCGCAAAATGTCTGTCAGTATGTAGCTTGAAATATACGAGGAACTTGAACAGCAATACGGGGCTCCAGGTGGCGTAAGGTGGTACAGCCATCAAGAAAATATTATGTATAGACGAGGCAAAAGAACAGCGACACCAGCAGGGTTCGAACCTGCGCGGGAGATCCCAACAGATAATGAGAATTCAAATCTGTCGCCTTAACCACTCGGCCATAGTGCCAGGATGGAGGTGGTTCCCCAGAATCCGTCTAGACCGCAGGATTGGGAAGACTCGGATCGGATCGCAGCGGATCAACCGTTACACGGTCATGTGCAGTGCGTCACCCGTTGTGACACCTCTCGCCTTCACCTTTCTCGAAAAAAAATGGACCCAACTACGGGGCACTCTCATGATGAATTACGCAACCTGGTTCGTTCCTTCCTGCCCATTCGAGGGCGCGCGACTCACAGGCCCAAACACGTCTTTAGAAAATCAAACTCAAGAAACTTGGACGCGTCGTACGCGTCCTTCTCGCAGAAGAACCGGTGAAAACACAAAGAGCGCTCGAATCATATGCTATCGACCTCGACGTGTTTCTCCAACCAAACACAAGCGGTGTGTATAGCTGCTCGGCGTTGGCAGTAGTATTGACTGGGAAGATTAGATTCTCCCTGCCTCGAGGCCGTTTGGGACGATAAAGACTCTGTATATCGTTGTCCCCAGTGTATGTGGGAGCTCGAACGGGGCGTCTGTTCCAGCGGGTGTCGGCTCGAGTTTGATACTGTGAGGACGATCGTGCTTGCTTTCCAGACTCGACTCAAGGGAACCGTCAGGATGTCCAGGATGATGCAGACTACACATCAAATGAGGCCTTCAACACTGACCGGGTGGCTCAACCTCGGGGCTGCACTCCACTTGAAGAAGTCGGGCATCTGTTTAGGCCGCCCTCGCAGTGCTATTCCGGCGGTTTGGACGAGTACGAGCAACTAAGACGACGGGGGGCGACTCGATTGATGTGCGAAACATTTCATCTTGAGTTTAGCTCAGATGCCGGAATTGTTGCCTGGGCCGACGGCAACATCTACGAAGAATTTGCGGGGCCTCTCATGCAGCGGGGGGATTTTTGGAAAATCATGTTGGGAAGACGCATTCAACTCGATGAAGACGACCCGGATGGCTCTGCATTCATGGAGGCACTTTTGGAGGACGCAGTCATTTTCCCGCTAGTCTCCACATGCAAATGGGAGACTATCGAAGAAAGCCCAGGTATTTGGGTCACTCGAGTGATTGGGATTACCCCTCGAGGTGCTGGTGATTCCAGTGATGACTCAGGCGACTCGATGGCATCCATCGAATCCGAAGATGCATGGGAACAGGCTCAACGGGAGTTCGAATTGGAGGACGAAGCGCTCGAGGCCGGCTATGTTGTTCCATCGCTTCCTGTGAATGCAGACCACTACGAAGCATCGGACGCGGAGGTCGACAGCGAGTCGGACGTTGATATGGCTGAAGGTGGATGCAAAACAGAGGAGACAGATGACGGTTGTGCCTCCGATTCAGGCTGGACATACGCGGCACATGTTCGGGACACTTGTTGGATGCCAGAGAGCGAGGACGTTGTTCCTTCCGCCGAAGATGGAGCAAACGGGGAAGGTTCGGACGAAGACTCGGCGGATAGCGACTTTGACTCGGATGAAATATTGAGTGGAGACGAGGCAAGCCTTGCCGCGGGACGGCGGTGGTTAGCGACGCTACCGCAGTAGCTGTCCCATCTAACATTTAGATAATCTCGTGCTGCTGCTCCTGTTCTCGTACATTTGCGACTACATACTTACTGGTAGACATTTTCCCCTTTGCGATATCCAGGTTGTTGGCGGCACCAAGAAACCTGCACCGCTGAGGAATGTCCCGTACGCCCTGCTCGTCATGCTGGTAGCTCCGTTTGGACTACACAAAACGCTTGTAACTCTCCGCACCATATTCGAAATACCTGGGTGCCGCACGGACATGCGGATCCTCCGCCTGAAGTCAAAGAATCGGGATCGTTAGAAAACCAGAAGCCCATTTCGGGCGGGGTCTTTCACATATTGATCAGCGCCGGTCATTCCTCCGTGCCAAGCTTCCGGCCATCGTGGCTGATTGCGATAAATGGTTCAGGCATGGCTTGCGAGGATAAAGCATCGTCACGCACAAATTCGATTCCAGTAAGATTAAAATTCACGAGCTGCGGCAGAGTACGCGATATTGAGCTGGCCAGTTTGCCTACTGGGCCAGACAGCCTGTCGTGTGGTCGACGTCAGACCACTGTCCATTTGCTTGGAGGGTCGAAAGCCTGAGGGGAATTTTAATTGGAGTCCGAGAGACGCGGCGGTGTACCAAGCGGGGATCGAACTGGCATCGGTTAGTCCCCCGACGATGTTGCTGAGACGCCGCTCGTGGATGGTCTCTATGTCTTGCGCTGTAGCAGGATCGATGGGGGTGGGCGTAGAAAACAGGAATACTGGCGCTTGAACTTGAACTTGGGATGCTGGTTCCGGCAGCAGTGCTTGTCGCATTGACCAGAGCGGATCAATAGTGGTCGTCGTCGAGGTATCAAGATTCGCCTGTGTGGGCGTTGGGTAGTTATGTTCGTAGGACGCGAGCGACGCCTGTAATCATGGTACATGCGCGGTCGCACCAAGATCCCAGAAAGAGAGGAGATGCAAAATATGTAGGAAATGAGAGAAAATGATCTGATGGTGAAGACGAAACGCGAGTACCACGTTCGGAGGTCAGCAGCACTCGGACGAGGCAAATCGACTCCTGCATTTTTCGTTCGGCGTGATTGGAAGGTACTCATGAAATAACCACATCGTCGGTCCCCAGCACCTACATCTCCGTAGAAAGGTTCCGGAGGTGGTTTAACGACTCCGCCAGTCAAAGGGTATGTTGAGGACATCGGAACAGGAGGGGCGGAGTGGAAGATGGAAGTAAAGTAGTTCCATAGCGACAGGGGACAGACTGCATTGAGCGGCGGATGTGTACACGGGTTTTATTTGGTCCCGCCGGCCTGTAGTCGGATAGGGACTCGGGGAGAACTCACCAATGGGGTCCAGATGTTCAATTCAAGATGTAGACCATGGATTCGCCATTCAGAGCACATCTACATTCAACGCGACGTTACGAGACGTATTCCCACTGTCCTGGTGCCGGTTTCTCCGCCAGCGGTTCCCAACTGGTCGAAAGGTTCAGCGGCGGGTTTACCGATAAATGAGACGCGACTCACGCCTTCCACTCGGCCATCTGAGCGGCGAGCTTGAGCTCGTCCGACGGCAATAAGGAGCGACTCTTCGATGATCCCCTCGCCCAGTCCCCTTCTCTGCGGCAGCGACGTCTGTGTTCGCGGCCTTGAGGATGTTGAGCTTGTTCTGTACGAGGGCCTCGGTAGCCTGTCTGTAGACGGATGTTTCTGGGATGTGTGCGAGCTGTGCGAGGGTGGACTGGTACGTGGAAGTGAGGACGGGGATGGGGTCTGGGTGTACTGCGAGGCCTGTGAGGCCTGTTGTGGACCTCAGCGCCTGGAACAGCGGGCGGGTCAGGCGCAACATCGTTTGATCGGAGTTTGAATTCCTGCCTCAGCCTTCTCTCTTGCGTCCACGATGGCAGCGCTGGCCGTCCATGGCGCTCTCTCGCTCTTCACCCGACCGCTGTTGACGCGCCCGCCGTTCCCCTCACCCTTCGCGCAGCCGTTCGCATTCACCGCCGTCCCCGCCTTCCTCGCAGCATCCCGCACATGGGCATTTCCCTCCCTCCAATCCCTTCTCGAACTCTTCCCACCGTTCGTGCTCGCCGTGCCCAAGTCAAAGACCTCACACTCGCGCAAATCCATGCGCAGCGCGAACAAGGGGCTCAAGGACAAGAACAGTCCGTCCACACTGCTTCTCTCTCTTTGCACCGACACTGACGTGCCGCAGATATCGTCAGTTGCCCTGGTTGTGGTACCCCCAAGCTGGCACACCATCTCTGTAGCCAATGCTACTCGTTTCTGAGCAGAATGTGGAAACAGACCCAACGGGCGGTCAATCCGCCATAAAAGAGCCACGTTTTCGCTGGGGGTCGGCGACTCGCGTCGAAGCTGGTTTTGTGCGCTTTTAATATTGGTATAAACGCGCTGTATTACTTAAGATACTGAATCGCGTCCGGTTCCCGCCGTATTAAATAATTTTTCTTTACCTTACCACGTGAGCGGATGAAGCCCTTCCCGCGGCGCGCCGTATTTATTAATACGTACCTCACTCAATATGTCTGCCCGGCTCTCACCCTCCAATGTTCCCCGCAAAACTCATCTCTCGCGCGCCCTTCATGCGCTCGGCCAGCACCCATGCCCCCCGCGGCCTCGCAGCCATTCTCCAGAAGAACCCCGAGGACGTCGTCATCACATTCGCGAAGCGTACCGCCGTCGGGCGCGCGAAGAAGGGCCAGCTGAAGGATACCACCGTCGACGAGCTCCTGCACGCCCTATTCAAGGTAAATAAACATTGCGTAAACGCGTGAATTTCGTTCAAATCTCTCTCAGGCGACTCTGGACAAGACCAAGCTCGACCCATCCAAAATTGACGATATCTGTGTCGGTATGTCTAGCGTGTAACTTAATCCAGCTATTGTCTCAGTCCTGGTCAGGGACGTGTCACCCGCCGTCTCCGCTCTACGTCTCCAGAGCAGCCGCATTAGCGGCCGGTATTCCGAACTATGTTCCGATCTCCACTGTAAATCGTCTGTGCTCCTCCGGCCTGATGGCAATCCGCAATATCGCGCACGCCATTCAGGCGGGCGAGACGTCCATTGGGATTGCAATCGGCGTCGAGAGCATGACCATGCAGTTCGTCTTTACTGTCGCTCCCCTTACCGATCCTTCATATACTTCGCCTTAGTCCACGCCCGACCCCGGAAATCTGTGAAGCAGTAGACCAAAATGCGGAAGCGCACGATTGCATTCAGGTCAGAATGCGCCTTGAAACAAGAGATGCCCGCTGATACGTTTGACAGCCTATGGGGTGGACGTCCGAGATGGTAGCGGAAAATTTCAAAGTCTCGCGCGAAACGCAGGATAAATACGCGCTCATCTCACACACACGGGCCAGCCAAGTACGAATTTCGTACCGTTGATGGGTTGCAACTGACCTGCGGTACAGTCGGCAGAGAAAGGGATTTTTGCCGACGAAATTATTCCCATCGAGCTCAAGGGTGCTGTGGTTTCCGTC